CTCTGTCAAATAAATAAATAAAATCTGTAAAAAAAAAGAAAAAAAAATTGCTCATAATAATACCACCACCCCAGGAATATCACCGGTAACATCCTTCCTTACAGTTTTCTCTGCAAAAACACGTGCACAGGGTTTGTTTTTCAGGTTGTTGTTTTTTTTGTTTTTTTTTTGTTTTTTTGACAAAAAATGGAATCATACTACACATGCTGGGTTTTTTTTCCCCTTTTCCTGTTCCTTACTCCCATTTCCCTCTTCATAGATACCCACTACAATGTATTTGATATATGTCCTGACCCTGCATGTTTCCTTATAAAAGATATAGTAGTGTGTGTGACAATTTTTTGTAAATCCTCCTGATTTTCCTGCATTGTGTTTTGAAAAATCACAACATAGATAAGTCTTTTAGGGATAAAATGTTTTTCCTGAAAACTGTATTATACATTTTGTTAGATCAGTCTTTAAACCGATTAGAACTTGAAAATTACAAAGCAAATCAAAGCTTACTTCTTAAGGACTCTTTGGTTTTAATAAAATAAATAGACCAAGAATTGGAACTCTTCAAATGTCACCTTCTTACTTTTCTTTTTTGAGACAATGTGTAGCTTTAGGTTCATTTCTGCTTGTAGGTAGGAGAATAGGCTAAATCCCCAAGTCTGTTCTGTAATAGGGCTTCTTCAGAAAAGGATTACATCAACAGAAAAAAGCTACAAGAAAAAATCTTGTAGAGAGAGGGGACAGGACATTGTTTGCCGCATTTCTCAAACTTGTTTGATCTCAGGCTTCTTTTATAGTAAGTGTCCTGTGAGTCAAAATGGAGTTCTCTGCAACTCACTTCTGAGAAACCCCGGGGTTGGATATATTTTTCCAGGTTCCTTAGGTTCAGTGATATGTGGAAAGAGATCTGTCCCTCATCCAAATGATAAATGTACAGAGTTGAACGTGGAACTCTAGAAACAGATGTAGAATCACTGTATGCATAATCTGTAAAGATTTGCTAAAGAATAGCTTTAAGCTTAACATATCTTTTAAACCCATTTGACATCGTTTCGAGTACTCATGATGAAGTTGGGCAGTAGTGAATAAAGGCAGAATAGCGTGTGTTCCATGAGGCAAGGCACAGAGTCTCCAGGCTTGCTGGGCCCTGCCGTGAGCGGAGGGTGGACAGGCAGCTTTCCTGGGCACCCACTGCGGTCAGGTTGTATCCTCCAGTGCAGGTAGCTGTGCACATGTGGACTGTGCAGTTACACATAACTCTGTATAGCCAGAGCAAATCTAATTGCATGTGATCCGAGAATATGAGATAAAGTCAACATGGCCGTCAGAACCCTGTGCAAGTGACCTGGCCCCAGCCGCCCCCCACCCCCCCCGCCCGGCGCGCTGCTTCTACTCCTCGGGCCTTTACACTTCCTCTTACTTAAATAATTGATATTAATAATATTGTCTTGTTTAGTCTTCCCTCATAAATTATAAGCCCCATGACGGGAGAGATTCTTTTTATCATCACTACATCCCCAGGGCTCGAGATACCATAGGCATTCAGTAGATGTAAATGACTGAGAATTCACACCTCCGTTTCCTAGAAACACGTCTTGATTCTGTAAGTTTCATCACTGTTAATGGCTCCGTTGTCCTCACTGCGTCGCATTGTGACCTGTTGTGTGCTTTATTTCACCAGACCCCTGAATGGTTGGACAGTGATTCCTGCCAAAAGTGTAATCAGCCTTTCTTCTGGAACTTCAAGCAAATGTGGGACAATAAGAAGATTGGCCTAAGACAGGTGGGTGATATGGATCCCTCATCAAAATGGAATAGAGAGGAGACAGCTTCACCTGTGAGCCTAGAACTAGCACCCCCAGGCAGGGGTTGTGCGGGGGGTGGTGGGGGGGGGTTCAGGCGCTACCCTGGAGCCACTCTGAGAATGCACGTTCAGTTAGTCCCTTACCTACTGCAGCTCATTCCTCCTGGACTCAGTTTCTTTGGTGACTTGTTTCAAGTAGTTAAGATACGATTTTAGAATTCTAGTGGCATCTACGGAAATACACCTTAAAATTAGAGGGATCATGCTTAGCTCATAGTGGGACCAAACCATAGAATTATATAAGAGGTATTTATTTCTTCTTAATAATTTCACTTTCTCTCTTGCCATCTTAGTTTTAGTCATTTAGAGCTACTTGTAATCATACAGCATTTTCAGTCCGATTCATGGTTGGGTTTGGTCCTCCTCAGGGAAATCAGTGTTAGTCACCTAGTTGAGCATGGCCAAAGTGTAGACAGTAGATTGAACTGGATTGCATTCACACTGTCCTTCATCCACCGGGTGGTCCTCGAGTTCATGCTAACCGTAGCTGGGAAGGACTGTGGTTGGGAGGTGGGGGTAGGGGGTGGGTGTGGTGACACAAACAGATGTGTTTCCAGCGGTTCTCCATTTGAACAAAGAGCCCAAAAAGAGAACGCAGCTGGTGTGTTCGTCCGTTTCCTGGGCGCTCTTGTTCAGCATCCTCAGCCGGATGCTGTTGGCCACGGCCGCGCCGACGTGGCGGGGCCGAGTTGCGGGAGCCCTAGCAAGCCTGTGCTCTCTCCGCCTCCAGCACCACTGCCGAAAGTGTGGGAAGGCCGTCTGCGGCAAGTGCAGCTCCAAGCGCTCCTCCATCCCTCTGATGGGCTTCGAGTTTGAAGTGAGGGTCTGTGACAGCTGCCACGAGGCCATCACCGATGAAGAGTGAGTTCCAGCTGGGCTAAGGGGCGAAGGTGACCCGGCACCGCAGCCGTGACCACCAGCGCCCTCGTTCCTGCTGGTTTCCGATACAGACCGTGGCCCGGGCGCAGAGCCCTCCTTTCTGCCAGGACATCCGCGCGCTCTCGTGAGATAGGAAAGGAGAGTCCGCATCAAGAACTCATGTCTTCTGTGCTCTTCCCCACCCCAGGGGCGGGTGCCCGGCCAGCAGGGGTTCTTCAGCCAGCCCTGCCAGCCCTTTATTTCCTTGAGAGTCGCTCCGGAGTGCAGGAACCCAGGCTTCATTTTCTAGCCCAAGCTGATATTTTTACAGGAGCTCAATCAGCCCATAGGCTCCAGAGGCCGCATTTTCTCCGGAAGAGCTGAGCCGCTTTTTATCTAAGAGGCCAGTACCACTAGTAGTCCAGCGACTCAGTCTTGCTTGGTGGTCTTGCCCGATAATCCAGGACCTTAGGTTACTGCACGTCCCTGTGCTTTTGGGGGGGGGGGTGTGTGTGTAAGGGCACTTCTGTGTTATCTCTTCAGTGCCGCTCATTGCAGACTGCCCCAGAGAGAAGCAGAATGATCTGCAATAGGTTCCCCTTTTAATGAATGACAGCAGGGTTTCCTAGGAAACTCGTCTGCCCGATTCTCCCCCACCTTGTATACGGTAGAATCATTTTAAGTACTAGACGGGTGTCTTGAAACAGCATGTAAATAGAAACGTATTTCAGATGCACCAGAGGAAGTCAGCATTTAAAGGAAAGTCGTGGCAATTAAGTATTCTCTTATGGATAACCCTAATGTATGTGTTTTTTTTCATTTTTCTTTATTCATATCAAATATAAATTAAGATGCCCTTGCATCAGTAAGCATTTATGTTCATTGATTATTTTCCACTCATCATATGTGATGAAATTAGAGAGTTCTTTTCATTAAAGAGCTGCAAGAGACTTTAGAGATATTCTAAATTAATTATTCATTTTATAGATAAAGACACAGACCCAGAGAGCCTAAGCAGCTGCACATTAAACCTAAATCTTGAATTCTAAATATTTTAAGTGATTATCTTAGGATACTGAAGACTGTCCCGTAGACCTAGCTACAGGTAAAACTGTCTTCAGAGAGCCCACTGCTGAGGGGTGGGTGCCCTTGAAGCCTGATGACAGACCAGCCGTCTCCTTCCCCATGTCCCTGTCCCCCTCCACATGTCGTCATTTCTTCTGCCTTTTCTGCATTGCCTCTAGATCACCTAGGCAGTCAACAAGCCTTCTTACTAAAACAATGCATAGATTAAAAAATACAAAACAAATAAAAATGTTTGTTTATAGATTGTTTTACTTGTTGAAGTGTTAGAATACCATAGAAAAACTAAACCTGCAGTTATACCAGGAAAATGAGGAGAAAGAATGGGTGACCCTTCAATTAGAATGGTATCTTAGGCTTTGTAACAGGTGTACTTTTTTTTTTTTTTTTAATAGGCACAGGTAGACTATTATACCAGCAGGTCCTTCTGAGATCAGACCTAGCAGAAGCACTGAGGTGTTTGTTTTAAGATTTGTCAGAGGCATAGATGAGATTTTCATAGGCTCTATCAGAGCAACAAGTAATCCATAAGACTTTGGGAAATGTCATCATCTCTTTCCCATTTTGGAGAAGATAAGAATCCTTTCACCTTTTAAAAAGCTGCCAGGGTGGCTCAGTCGGTTATGTGTCCGGGACTCTTGGTTTTGGCTCAGGCTGTGATCTCACGGTTGGGGGATTGAGCCCCGAGTCGGGCTCCAAGCTCAGCATAGAGCCTGCTTAAGATTCTCTCTCCCTTACCCTCTAGCCCTCCTGTTTGTGCACGCTCTGTCTCTTTCAAATAAATAAATCTTTTTTAAAAAATCATTAACAGTTTCCCAGGGAATAAAGGTAGATATGAGGAGCAGTTTTAAAGTGAAGCACTTGTCTTAGTCATTTGGCTGCACATTAGAGCTTCATGACACCTTAGATCTCTCCTTCATTCACGTGTCACCACTTTTCACTCTTGGAAACTTACTTTGCTCCTTCCAGACGTGCACCCACAGCGACCTTCCACGACAGCAAACATAACATTGTGCATGTGCATTTTGATGCAACCCGAGGATGGTTACTGACTTCTGGAACGGACAAGGTTATTAAGGTAGGACGCCATCTTCTTTTAGAAGTTTTCCATCTTTGGTCCTATGTCAATATACAGGAGCCCCAAGACTGTGTGAGGTCTGCTCACAAGGTTGCTCTCAGCAGTGAGCATTTTTGAGAACCTACCATGTGCAGGAGGGCCCTGCCTGCACACACCAAGACATGGCTCTTGGCTTCAGGGAACACGTCGCCTGCTGGGGACGTACTCTTTTTGATGGTTAATAATAGGTCCCGTATTCAGCAGCCAAAAGAGTGATACAGGCAAGAATTACCTTGAGAGCTCAGTAGAGGGAGATGGGGCTATTGGAGATGGCTTCAGGAAGGAAGGGGGGTTTGAGCTGAGCATTGAGTGAAAGGAAGGACTCGAATAAGCCAGCAAGTTATAAACAAGACCTTTTCCCCGTGAGATCAGTTAATCCAGAAGCATTCCTCCAGGGCCTGTCTGAGGACTATGCTGAGTTTATCTGGTGCCCCAGCAGAGGCCCTGGACAGGAGGGGCCACAGCCGCACCACGGGCTCGCCCCGCACACTGAGCGCTGCCACCCCAGCCGCTCTGGTCCCTTCTTGGAGGCAGCAGCAGGATGCGGTGGTTAAAATAACCCCCTTCGAAGCCACTAGGTCCCTGGGACTTTGAGCAAGTTTAAAGTAAACTCTGGGAGCCTCGGTTCCTTTCTTTTTGAAAAATGGGACATCTGGGAAGACTGTTTGGAAGACTGGATGAGAGAAGATCTGGAAGGGACACAGCACGTCCCAGGGGCCCACTGGGGGCCTGATAGATGTTCGTTACCTTGCCCCAGAAGGGAACCTGATCTGTCAGATTCTGCACTAGCCGAATGAGAATTCCCCACGGCCGTGGTTTTGAAGTCTGTGTCAAACATTTTCATGGCAAAATACCATTTTATAGATGTAGAAATCATGTTAGTGTAGTACTGAGTTGCTTGGCAAGTTAAAAAGTTCACTTGTATTCAATGACAAGGACTGTTGATCCTCAACGCAATGGAATTTCAGTTCATCCTGCATTTTCTCTTCCTTTCCGCAGTTATGGGATATGACCCCAGTTGTGTCTTGAGGACACCCCAGGCGCAGACAGATAGCATTTACTCAAGAAACGGTTGTTGGAATCCACTTTATTACTGGGGCTGTCAGCAGACGCGTGAGAGTCCGAGAGAAGCTCGCGAGCCGGGCTGAGTTGGCATGGGAGCTAGTGAGTGGACACTGGCAAGGAGACTCTTTCAACCTGTTCATACAATAGAAAAGAAGATTTTTTTTTTTTTAACAAATGGTTTATACACTCTGGCTGTGCTACATTGTTTTGGGCATACTGAAAACTGTGTGGGGTGTTTAATCTGTATGTGTTTCTCACTTCCTTTTCGTTGTTGCTCTGTGTGTTAGAGAGATGAGGAAGGCATCTGTTGGGGGTATTTTTGGTCGTTATAAAGTCCTTTCCATGTCTCCTTCACATGGGCATGTATTCTGTGGTCGGCGTCCTTTTCCCTCCCTCTCTGTCACCTCCCCTCTGCTTCATGTTCGCCGGTGTATGTGTTTATATTGACACTCTTTATTCTCAGTGTTTCTGCTTTCACAGACCTCCTCTTCGACTGAGAGGTTCGGGAAACCATTCGTGTGGGTTTTCCAACTGACTTCTTGAATCACCTGAAGAGTAATCCGTTTGGAATGTCTAATGCATTCCTGTTCAGCCGAGTAGATGCGACCTTGTGCTTCTGCCTCGCTCAGTGTTCTGTCTGTGCTGTGAGAAAGCTGCTCCCGACCACTGTCGTCACAGAAGCGATGATTGTAACTCAGAGCTCCGACTCTCAGTGCCTGGGTCATTTCTCCTTCAGTTGGAGCCTTCTGAGCCTTTGATGTTTTCGTGTGATTCACATAGCTCTTCCTCATTTACAGTATTGAAAACAAACGCAACAAAACAAAAAAAACCCAAACCCCATGTCCTTCAGAAAAAAGTGTCTTTAAGATGTGTTTGTCCACGCGACATCACCTCTGAATTTGAATGTGCTCCTTCCTGCAAGATTGAATCCTGCTCTACTCCTCACCATCTGTATTTTCTTCCCCTTGAAAAACTAGATATTTAAAGATTTTTACCTTCATGTATTTTAGCAGAACACTTTGCACACTTTCATACTAAAACTGTGTGATCTGAGACATAAAAGGTACCGAGTCCTACAGCTTATACTGTGTTCCGGTTGGGAATGTTAAAAGAAAAAAAGAAAACAAGAAAGAAAAGAAAAAAGAGGGCTTTAGAAAATGAACACGAAGAACTCTAATTTTAAGGGAATCCAGTCAAACTTGACAAAGTGAAATATTCTTGTGTGTAGTGGCTCAAATGTTGAGTCCTTTTTAGAAATCTTATTTTCACCTGTTGGCAGCCGGCGTGTGCCGTGAGCCTGCCCCGTTATGTGCCCTTTACACATCCCACCTCATTCACCCTCACCTGTCAGGGGCGTCGGGGGACCACCGAGTCTCTTGAGGATCACCAGGTTCAATGAAGCCTTGCAGAGAAACAGGCCAATTACTTGCCCTTCACTATCCAAGCCGTCCTCATTATCTTGCTCCCTTCTGATTTGACAGGTTTTTGTTGGTGGTGTTTGAAATGCTCCCTATATCTATCTATCTATCTATCTATCTATCTATCTATCTATCTATCTGTCTATCTTTCTGTCTTTCTTTCTTTTTTTTTTCTTTTTTTTGGGGGGGGGGAAGCTGTTTTTTCCCCCTCACGACTATTAATTACTTTTCTTTCCAACCGGGAAGAGTACTACCCTCCATCCTTGGCTGCCATACTCCCATTCTCTGAAGACCCCTGACCCGCGTGCTCCCAGGGCGGGACTTCTTCCTAGGGATGGCTCTGTCGCCACAGCCATGGGAAGCAGGAGCGGTGGGTGTGCCCCGTGCAGCCCTGGCACATGGCGGCTGTCATCTGAGACATCAGACCAGCTCATGTGACCACACTCTAAGGTTGGACACGCGTGTACACACATGCACGCACGCACAGAAGCGGTTTCCACTTGTCACTTCGCTGTCCCCTTCCACACTACTCTTGGTTGCCATCAGTCGAAGCTGTTAGAATTAAGCTGAGTCTTGTCTGCATGATTGTGAGAGACCTTTAAAAAGGGAATGAAATTCAAAATACTCAAATATCTATTTTATAGTTTACTACTGGAACTTGGAGCCACGTACTAAGTTGTACATAATAGAGAACCATGTGTTGGAAACGAGTAATAGAACGAATCGCTGTGTTTTCCCTTCCCGAATTTCGGAGCGTGGCCCGTATGCAGAGAGGGAAGACGGTGTCAGGGAAGCAGTAGATCAGTGCCCAGCGAGGCTGATGGGCTCTGAGTTAGGTCCAGAGGAGCTCGCACCCCACTGGGGAGGCGGATTGTCCCTGCTGGGTCACGAGTGTCCACCGCGGTTACTCTGGGCTGCAACCTCGCACTTCACTGCAGCCATCTCCCTCCCGGCGTGGCTCATCCCCAGCCCGCAGAGCCACTCAGAGCCACTCAGAGGTTGAAACCACTTGCCACCTCATTGGGGATGAGAGTCCCGATCAAAAACTACAGATAGATCATAGTATCCCCCTCTCTGCCCTTTTCTTTCTCCTTATGTGTGTGGGTGCTTGAATTTGTTAAGAAGTATTTAGCAAACCAACGGTGTGTGTTTGTGATACTGTGAATTCTTGAGTTTTACGATGAGTGTCTCCACCATTTTTTGTAACTCATGGAGAGAGAGATGCTGGTGTTGGGTGTCTTCCCAGCATTTTATGGGGCAGTGGCTTCACTCATTAGGAGTGAAAGCTGACGCCAGCACTTGTCTTTTCTCCTGTCATAGTTCTTGTTTTGCCCTCTTGGAATTGCACTTTACGTATATTTTTGCTCTGTTACTTCAGCAGTTCTGGCAAGGAATGCCTAACATGGTCATGTCGGGAAAGTGGCAGGACTGCACATCTCATGCACAGACTTTTGTTATGCAGTTGGTAGGATAAAACCAATCACATGCTCTTGGTTTCTCCAAAGAAATGTTACTGGAACCTTTCATGGTCTGGGTTTGTGTCCACAGTAGCAAAGGTGGTTTTACATTAAGTACTTGGAATTGCATGTCTTTTTATATGATGTCAATCAATGATGTATTTCTCATTTGATGTTTCAGTTATTCAAGGAATCATAGAATCACAAAACCGGAAGGGATCTTCAGAGATCTAGAATGTTCCAAGCAGAAAACATTTAGTCATCGCAGGCAGTCGGATATAGCTAAGGTGTCAACAAGAGAATCTAAAAGTTTTAAAGAATTTTCCAGGGACACTTGCTTTTGGGCATTAACTACTAATGGCATGACTAGGAGGAATGACCTCTAGGCAGCTCTCAGGAACCAGACCTGATCCTCTTACGGGTGAATCTGACACTTCTGTTGGCCCCAGCCCTGTTTCTGAGGGGGTGGGTACTATGCAGTGAGGCAGTTCTTGCAGGTCTTGATCAGCATAAGCTCCTTCCGACACTCTTCCTCAAGGACCCCTCCCGAGCAACAAATCCAGGTGGAAGTCTGAGGGCATTGAAAATTCATCTCCCCTGTCGTCTGAAGGCCGGCCTTGAGTGAGTCTGAGTCTACAGCCATTGCCTTTCTTAGGAAACATCACCTTTTCATGGTTTGAGATTCATTTTTAAAAAGCATAATTTATTTTTGCTTAACATTAATCCATTTTTAAAGCCTGGAGATTGACTTTTAAGTAAAGGGATAGCTCTAAACGATGTACCAAAGTTACTGGACATAAATATTCATTAACTGAGATTCCTTTGATTTTGCTTCTTCATAGTTTAATCGTATATAAGTGATCTCGTTCACTAAGATACGTATTTTAAAGTAAAAGAAAGCACTTTGCCAAACAGTCTTTTTCTCTCCTTTAAAACAGTGGTAAATTTTAACCGACAGTGGATATCTATTCAGTTGATTGGGAAACACAGAAATTAAGTCCATTTTAAACACGGAGTTCTCTTAGACGATCCTCGAGAGTGTAGCCCATTTCAGCCATTTGTAGGGCGCCTGCTGCAAGACAGGCTCTGAACTAGGCCGTGGGGGGCCGGGGCCCATTCCCTGGCCTGGGCAGAGGCCACTCGAGGGAGTGGATGGGTCATGTCAGTCCCATGGGGTCCGTTCTGTGATAGAAGTGTGCACAGGGTGCCCGCCCCCCAGCAGAAGGACCTCTGAGCGGAGGGTTAAAGGTGCAGTTGGAGTGAGTCCAGTAGGGAAATGATGTGCAGGCTGCTGAGACAGAAACAGGCCTAAGATCTGGCATCAGCCTGGTGCACGGAGGCCACAAGTGGTTTGGAGTTGCCAGAGAGTATCATGTGCTCGGCTGCAGTCCGGGGGGGGAAGGGCTTGGGGGGGGGGGCTGTGTCTGGTTCCCCATGACCTCAGAGGGAAGCAGCACACGGAGCACCATGAGAGCTTCGCTCAGCGTTTGAGAGTCAGGTTTTCCTGCAGCTGACTGAGGCCAGTATCTAAGCTTTTTGTTTTTTTCCTTTAGAGAGACCTGGGATGGTTATCTTAAAATGACCCATGGCAGCTAATTTTTTAACTTTCTGGAGGCACAGCCCCACCCCGGAGGCCGTGAGGTGGTGCTGGTGGCCACCACATGCGTGGACTTGGCCTGGGAGAACGCACAAGCTAATTCCCTTACGACACAGGTGGGCCAGGCTCAGCTGCTCCCCTTTGACAAAGGAAAGACCATGCCGGGTGGTAGGAGACTGTTCTAGACAACTGCAGCATCACAGGTGTACGCAGAGCCAAGCCCGTTGGTGCGTAAGCAGGCGGCCGCCCTCCATTTCCCCGCTGGTCTGAATTGTTCCTGCAAGTCATGGGTCTTCTCAGTGCAGTGTGGGAAACGTGCTAAGTCCTCACCGTAGTGCCTCTCGCCACCTGGAAGGGAACATTCCCACAGGTCAGAGGCCGTGAGAAGGGCTCAGGCAGCGCCCCCTCTGACACCTGACTCTGCCCAGCAGGGGCGTCCCAGCACCCGCCCCCCCACCTCCCCACGAGGCTTGGCACTTTCTGGTTCTTGCCATTCCATCCATTTGCCTTTTTCTTTCACTGCCCAAGTGTCCTGTGTCCGTAACTTAATTCAGGAATATCCGTGTTCATTTTTCAACTTCAGCTCAACTTCACAACCGAGAATTATATACATACCACCCCTTGGGGGTTTTAGTTTGTAATTTTGCCTTTAAACATGATCCTTTCCACTGAGAAGCCTATTTAGGCCTAACACACAAAAGCAGTCCCTAAGAATATGATCTGTCCAAAATTGGAGTGGGATTCCTCCTTTGTGTTTCACACACCAGGGAACGTTGGAACACACAGTAGAGAGTCCCTTGTCAGAGACGGGGGCGGGCGGCTGAAGCCTGGAGGAGGGACTGGATTGGATGCTCGTTCTTGAGACCCCTTCCGGTCCTGCGA